AGACTGACAGTTCCTACTGGTGTGAGCATAAATTAGGGTGGGTGAGGGTTGGTTGGGCTCTGCCGCAGCATTAGCTGGCGGATACTGGCAATGGGGATTCATTCTGTCAAGTTAAACTGCAAAACTACCTGGAGTTGGAGTGGGCCCAGTAGGGAAATAGTGGGCACCTCCCACTTGGTTTACCACTTCCACTGGAAAGCATGGAAACTAGGACTGGGGCAGGCATGGCTTGACAGAATGGCACCCACAGCATGTGTGTGGGTTGGTTAGTGGGGTTGGTTGGGTTGCACTAGGCTTCAATGCCTGTTGACATGTATGAGAGCTGAATGGGATGTGGGACAGACTGGACCAGTCTGCTGTACATATTGGCAAGCATGGGAACCAGGGCAGGGGCGGGCCTAGTGGGGGTTATTGAGGGTTGGTCCGAGTAGCTGCAGCTACCCCTGGTTTGTGTAAGGGCCAAGTGTGTGGTTGGCAAAATCAGCTTGGACTGCAACACCCATTGGTTTGCATAGAAGACAGGGCTGGAAGCAGAAGTGACCCAGCAGTTGCAACCACCAGCATGTGCATAAGTTGATTGGGGTGATGGACTGTGCTGGACCCTGGACAGGCAAGCACACACAAGAATCAGGTCTGGGATCACCTCAGACAAAGTTTCTTTGGGGAATCTTCCAACTGAACTGCTGATCTCAGAACCCCAACCATGAAGAGAAGTGCAGGTTCCATGGTCTGACCATGGAGTGCATGTGTCAATGCTGAGCCTCCTCAGAGGCTCAGATGGAGCATTGGACAGCACATCCAGGTGCACATGGAGGATATGGCAGTCCATTGGAACCTGCAGAGGACACCTAGTATCACAACAGAGGATGGAGGACAGAACAAATCAATCATCTACCCCAGCCATGTGTTGGCAGTGAAAATCTGGGCAAATGGAGACTCAAAGGTGGACTATGTCAGCTAGTGGATTCTGGAGATACTTCATCATGTTAGGAATGGTAAGACTAGCAGCAATTCAGAACTGTTTAACTCTGAAAACCACTTGAGCAATGCCCTCAGAGCATGCCCCACGTCAGGCATCCTGGGATGGATGGGAGGCTGGGTGGGGCTTCTCCCTTTATCTTCCCCTTTTTCATGTACAGAAAAAAAAAAAAGAGAGAGAATGTGGTAACAATGGTCTTACCCACTTTCCTGTAGCCCTTGACCCTTTGTGCCCTAATCAACTATGTAAAGATTATCAAAGCAAGATAATAAAGATTTGAAGAGCATCATTCACATGCAATACAATCCAAGGCATCTTTAAAAACAGTAATTTGAAATACTAATTTTGTAAATTAAAAAAAACTTTAGTATTTGAAAGCCAGAGATAGACAAATATTGCATCCATTGGTTCACTCCTCAAATGGCTGCAAAAGCCAAAAGCCTGGATGGATGCAGGGACCCAAACACTTGATCCATCTTTCACTGCTTTCCAAGGTGAATTAGCAGAGAGCTGAATTGGAAGTGGAGCAGCCAGGTCCTACACCAGTGCCCATTAGGGAAGCTGGCATCACATGCAATGGTTTAACCTACTATGCTGCAACACAGGCCCTCTAACTTTGTAAATTAACATCCATTACTCTGTGTCTTAAACACTGTGGGTGATGAGGGGTTAAGAATGAGGAAAGGGGGCTGGTGCAGTGGCTCAACTGGCTAATCCTCCACCTTCTAGCACCGGCATCCCATATGGGTGCTAGCTCGTGTCCTGGCTGCTGCACTTCTATCCAGCTCCCTACTTACAATCTGGGAAAGTAGAATATGGTCCAAGGCCTTGGGATCCTGTACCCATTTGGAGACCTGGAAGAAGCTCTTGGCTCCTGGTTTTGGATTGACTCAGCTCTGACCCTTGCAGCCATTCTGGTAGAGAACCAGTGGATGGAATAGCTTTCCCTCTCAGTGCCTGTAAATCTGCCTTTCCAATTTTAAAAAAATTGCTAAAAAAAAGGTGAGGGAATAGAAAGAAGGGAAACACGACACTGTTGGGTAAACTTCACAGCAAAAGTCCACGAAAATGAAGGCTGTTTGACTCTTCTCTAAGGAAAATCACCAGAGGAGTATTCAGCTAGGTTGTATTAGCAAAGGACATGCAGGAGCAGTTATGGGAGTTTTAAAACAGTGAAAAGCAAGCAGCGCCCCATATCTGAGTTCTGTAAGTCTGAGGGAAAGTTCAGCTGTTCTGTTCCCTGTGTCTTTTTCTTCCACATGGATAAATCTGACATTTATATGATACTGTCAAAAATACTGCATCAACATCATACTCACGCCTACTGTTACGAGATGAAAATTCTGAGTATACTTGAGAGGACAGGATAATAAAGTTGGTGGGAAACTTTTGCAAATAGCAATGGACAAGGAAAAACTCTCAAACTCTGTTTCTCCAGCTTGCTTAAAGTGAGGCTTATCTCAAAGGCCGAGTTACCACTACTGTGCTTTGGAGGAGTACCTGGCACTTTACAAGGCCGCTTCATGTGTCACCTCTTCAAGAGAATGACCTCAGGTAGTAGCTGAACTGGGATACAATTTAAGGTGAGGATCCCACCGAGTAACACTCTACTGCTTAACTGACAATTACTGCCATGTGCTCTGGTGGACTAGTTCTCAAAGTTAATGGAAAATATATATCACAGAAAAAAGTATGCTTCAGTTTAAAAAATATTTTGGCACCAAAATAAATCCATCTTTCAATTCTACTTCTCAGCTTCCTGAAACATCCTTGTAGAGGGGTTAAGTAACTACACATGATGAAACATTTTTTAACTGAAACACTTTTTTATTTTAAACACAATAAGAGGCTGAGATCTCTCATCAGCTGATTTATTCCCGAAGTGACCTCAATGACCCGGGGTTGACCAAGACTGGAGCCAGGGGTTTTTGTGGTCTCCCAAGTGAGTGCAGAGGCTCAAACACTTGAACCATCTTCTGTTACTTTCCCAGGACATTAGCAGGGATCTGGATGGGAAGTAGAGCAGCCAGGACTTGAAGTGACACAGGCACAGGCTTAACTTGTTACACTACAGCACCGACCCCTAGAATACATCTTAAATCCTCACGTGTGTTGAAGCCGTTTGCAGGAATGGACCTTCCTTCTATTCCTTAATTTTTGGGAAAGGAGCCAGTCAGGGACAGCAGGGAATCTGAGGAAGAAACTGCAAACAGGCAAGATCAGAGTAACGATCACAGCTGCACCATAAGAACAGGAAACGCTGGCTTTCCCAGTCAAGGGAACTGAGCAGCTGTATTTGTGAGCAGCCCGGAGAAAATATCGGGTTGTCAGATGAACAGTTTATGTGAGAGCTGGACAACAAACCAGTCTGAGACAAAGTGAGAATGTTCTCTGCATAGAAAGTGCATTCCTGCCGCTGTTGCTGACAAGGGGAGCCTGCCCCTTGCAGGCAGGCCACTCTGACACAGCACAGGGCAGGGCCCCGAGCTCCTTCCCGGGCGAACCACCCAGCATCTCCTCACCGTAATCTCACAAGCCAGCTACTTCTCTTGCCTTGATTCACCCCAGGGTAAGGAACTAGGAAACTGTAAACCACACTTGGGTGTCCAAAGGCCAGCACAATTCCTGAAACCAGTCAATTCCCAAACCGTTCATCCTGCCTGGCTGTGGTCCTGGCACTGGCGAGGTGTTCCTTTGTGACCCTGGGTGGCCTAGATGACCCCTTCCCTGGGACCTGTGAGTACAATCAGCTTTGCACCACTTGCACTGACCTGCCTGACCACATGCAACAAATACAGCTGGGAAACAACAGAGGATATGTTTACTTTAAGGAAATATTTGTTCAGGGTAAATCAATCTTTTTGGTTAGTCCATCCACATGTCATTTTCATGCTTTAATGTTTTACATTTAAAGCTTTCAAATAAGGCACAATTCTGGAATATTCAAAAGAATGATTATGTCGATTTAAAGAAAAATTCAATTCAGAATTGTATGTAGGATTTTCATTTATTAACAGTGAAAAAGCATTTATCCAAAGTGAAAAGTTACAAAATACAAAGATTGTTTCCACAGTCTGGCTAGCCCCTTATATTAGGTATTATTTTCAATCTGAATAGGACTTTTCATTCTGCCCTCTTTTTCCCCTATCTCTAACCACTATTTTTACTTATGATAAACAGGTGTATTTAATGCCTAACTCTTCAGCAATTATCACTAGGCAAAATCTCTGGAACAAGTTATTTGCTCTCAAGCTTTGGGTATTTTAAAAGTAAAATACTGACTAAAATGGGAAAACAACAGCCTAGATAATAGCTTTAAAACAACTCAAATGAGCAAGATTGATGGAACAGGTACCATGGTTGTAACTAAGAGAATTCCAGTTCCTCTACAGGGCCCATCTTTAATATGCATGCAGAGAAAGCCACAAAGCAGGCTTCGTCAGAGTACCAAAATGGAAGTTTTCCACCTTTGTGGTCAACATGTGCAAAATACAGAACTTAAGTATTCATAGGCTTATAATTTCAATTTCTCTGAGGTGAGGTCAACTGGACAAGAACTGGTTCCAGATGGGCTGTTGTCTCAATCAGATAGATGTACTGGATACAGCAATACAGTGAATATCTTTGTAAGGAAATCCTCACTCAGTATTCCCTGAAGACACTGCAGTTAACGGCAGGTGTCAAACAAGAATCTTAAATACTAACCAAGTTATTTTACAGGAATTTTAGTCAATTGTTAACAAATTTAAATTACTACTTAGAATTAATTCTTCTCATTTTGTGTAATATTGAGTTATTCACTGCTAACAGGCTCTGGGAAACTTTACTGTGTCTATAGCAAGTTTGGAATAAAGAGGTAAATCACCTTTTAAAAATTTAGGGAAAACTCACATGCATGTTGTTGACACAGGATATCATCGGCAAACCTGCTGCTCCCACACGCGAAGCCACCACTGCTGCTTTGGTACTGAGCTGTCATTTCTAAAAGCAGGTCTATCCAATGGCATACAGAATACCAGTGCCTTGTTACATCAATTTAGTTATGTTTATCCCCATTTAAATCTGATTTATTATCTAAAATTAACTGTTACCTTTTTTATGCATTAATACTCCCTAATTATATAAAGTCTTTTTCAAAATTTTTAGACTGAAACAACTTAGAATTTGAAATTCTCGAAACTATCTAATAATTTTATAAGCTCGAAGAATGTAAGTTCTAAATGTGATCAGATTCAAAAGGATTACTGATAAATAGTCTAAATAATTTACAGATACCTGGACTACTGTACAGGCGGCCCTATTCTTGCACAGCATCTAACAGAACATGAGCAGTGGCCTGTCTGGAGACTGGCCAAATTGGTTGGACTTTATAATAAATAACTCTCTATCACTCTCTGAACAGCCTAAAAATTATACAGAACATTGACTTACTGCATGTAATGCAACATAATTTCCAAAAGGTACTTTACAGTTAAGTCCAAATTTTATTTAAAACCACATCTTAAATTTAATGTTATCAAACATCACAACGGAAGGATAAAAGCAAGACTAAAAAAGAAACAGGAAAAAAAAACCCACAGTGAATCAAAATTTGAATCTGAATTCAGCTTCTAATGTTTTAAAACTGCCATGGGCAGAAATTAGCACACCTATCAAAAATGCAGTGTCAAACTAATTTACATTTTATACAGATCAAAGCAGATGTTTATTTAGTGTCATTTTCATATATGCACTGTATAAAGACAGGAGTTTGATGAGCCTCTGAAGACCCTTCATATGCTTTGGGCTCCCACTGTTTCTGAAAAATAGAAAAATAACACCTTATAAATCACCAAATTAAGTCATTATTTTATACATTCTCTTCCATTAAAACTTTCACTTCTAACATAAATTAGGATTTACTTTATAAAAATAACCTTAACTTGAATTCCCTGACAACAGATTGTTAAAAAAACAAAAAGAACAACAACAACAAAAAAACTCCACCTGAGGGATTATCCCATGATGGCTGACTTGTCTTTTCAAAGAACTATAAAAAGGCCTAAATCTAGACAAAAAAAAGCAGACAGGAAAAGCAGCAACTGATCAGGATGCTCCACACAGATGGGGCTTCCCGAGAGGAAGCTGGAGGGGCTGGTGCAGAACCAGGAGAGGCTCAGGTAAGGTGGCTGTCAGAAGGCGGTAGGCAAAACTGGGCAGAGAACTTGGAGATTAACTCAGGGCTTGATACTCAACCATCAGTCTCACTCTTGTTTTCAGAAAAAAAAAAACTCATAAAAAAAATCACATATGAATTCAATTAGTTGAAAATGAAAATCCTTCAATCTTAAACTGTAAAAAAAACCCTGAGTGTCCCAGAAGCTGGCCTGTTAGACACAAACAAGAAGGAAATTAATGAACTACCTATTGGCTCTTGATGTTGAAACAGAATTGTTCTCTGAAAGTATGAGTTAATTATGGATATAAAATAAAAATGTTCACTTTTTATAACATAAGAGTATCAGAAGTGGCAAAAGAGGATGAGCAGATGCGCTGGGGGGATGTCAAAGCTGACAAGCAGAACAAGGTGAATTTTTAAAAAGAGCAAAGATGAAAACCAGACAAACCAACTACAGACTGGGAGGAGAGGTAAAGACACTAAAGACACAGTTGTCATGGAGGGGAAAGATGTTTTCTGAATTTTAAACATTAGGAAAAATCAATCATAAAATGCTAATTTTATAGGCCTCTCTCAAAAGAACTAAAAGCCAGTAACTAGAGGAAAGAAATTCTTAATCTTTATCAGTAACTCTTTAGTAACTTACTTTCTTAAACTATGCACAGCTATTTCTTACTTTGCAAAAATTGAGCATTTTAAAAACAGAAAATTACTTGGTAAGACTGTTCTAAATACATGAAGTAACTGAATTAAGCTTCACACAGAATGCTTCCTTTCCAGTGACCAGTCTTCAAGCTCCTCGGTACTACTACAGGACATGTGGAGCAAGGAATGCAGTATCAAGACTGCATGATTTCTCAGTGTCCTAAGAGTAGAATTGGCCACTCTTACCTGGTTCTTTGAGCATCTGAGAACTTCCGGCTAACTCTTCAGTGTGCATTTCACATATCTCACCAGGTAAATGGTTCTTCTGTTGTTCTTCTACCATTTTTTTCCTTAGATCTGCCTTTAGAATGAAAATTAATAATATAGATCATTTTTCACCTCAACATTTGTTACAAAAAGACAAACTTAAATAAAGAGAACCAAATACCTCTGAATAGATTGTCAGTTTAAGTGGTAAATCTTCAACTTTCACAAAGTCTTCTTCATCAGACTTCTGACTTATGTTACCAGATTCTGCTTCCTATAAAACGAATTTATTACCTGTTTATTGCTTTTAGAAATTTATTTTTTATAGGAAAGGCCGATTTACAGAGGGAAAGACTTTCTAACAACTGGTTCACTTCTCAAAAGCCCACACTGTTGCTGAGCTGATCTGAAGCCAGGAACCAGGAGATTCTTCTAGGTCTCTCATGCAGGTGCAGGGTCCCAGGTCATTGGCTGTCCTCCACCGCTTTCCTAGGCCATAAGTAAGGAGCTGGATGGGAAGTAGAGCAGCTGGAATACAAACTGGCACCCATATGGGATCCCAACGCTAGCAAGGTGAGGATTTAGCCATTGAGCCAAACTCAGAATTTATTATTTTTAAATCTAAGCCTAAGTCATCCATGCCAATAAACACTGTGTTCTTATCTGAAAACATACAATCAATAATTATATCATTTGGTTTTCCCCATTTAGCTCTGAATAAATGGGTATTGAGTCAAGAAGGGCTTCATACATACAATTATGAGCATGAGGTTTTTATACCTGTTTTATTAAAACAAGAATATGTTTATATATGCTGAAGGAAGAAAGAGTAATACATGGGGCCTAAAAGAACTTGAAACACACCCTTGTGTTTACAGAATGCATCCAAGCTAAATGCAACCAAATATAAGCAAAACCAAAACGTTTCCATTAGCTTTGTTGAGGCTTACTTAGAAAGATGAGGTATGAATTTAGTAATACACTTTGGGGTCACTTAAAATCTAGTCTTTTCCAGCTCTCTTCTTTTTAATGGCATCATTCTACCGGCTACCTGAGGTTTTTCTTTGTCTTGCACTGTTTCTCACCCAGCTCATCTTGCTCAGCTCCTTTTACCTACATCACAGCAGATGCTCCTAACAGAGCTTCCTTGACTGCATCGTACATTCATCAGATTCATTCTCCGAGAATGTGATTTTGAGCATTTTAATTTTCTCACAGAAAAATGAATGAAAAAAAGCCTTCAGTAGGGATCTCTGCCTAAAATTCAGATTCAAGAGCTTATATAATCTAACTCCAAGTTAATTTCAACTAAGTATCATCTCTGGAAACACCTATATGATCAAATGACAAGGTGAAGTCTAATAGGTAATCATCAGCATTAAATGTATAATCTCACCAGGAGTTCTGATTGCCACTTTAAGTGGTAAATCAAAACTTAAAAAAAAAAAAACTACCCTTTCTACTCTTTTATTATATTCTACTCTTTTAAATATTAGCGGGGACAGAGCAAGCTAAGCCTCAGCCTTCAGTGTCAGCATTCCATAAGGGCACCCATTCATGTCCCAACTGCTCCACTTCTGATTCACTCCCTGATAACAGTTGGGGAAATCAACAGAGGATGGCCCAAGTCCTTGGGCGCCTGCAGTTGCGTGGGAGCCCTGGAAGAAGCTCCTGGCTCCGGCTCCTGATTGGCTCAGTTCCAGTCAGTGCAGCCACTTGGGGAGTGAACCACCAGATAGGAGACCTCTCTGTCCTGCTTTGTGTAACTCTGCCTTTCTAATATAAAAATAATAAAATAAACTAAAAAAAACCCCCATAAGCCCTATTTCTAATGAACTATGTAACTCTAAGTAGGAGAAAATCAATTTTAATTTTTAAAAACTGAAGCACATTCAAAAGATCTAAAATTACTTGCCTTAAATAAAAATCTATTCACCCCCATGAATGCAAAACTGCCTGACTGCTACAAAATTTAACAGTAACAAAGTTTCACACCAAAACTACACTTATGTACCTGCTACTGTTAAGTGCAAATTTTCACTTTTTTTGTTGAATTGTTTCATTCTGTATCTCAAATGTGAACTTTATCAAAGACCTATGAAATGCTCTACACAGCTGAGAAGTCCAGAACGGGTAGTTTAACAGGTTACCATTACTACCGCGGATCTAGGCTTGAACTCCCTGCAGTTATCATCTACAGCTCAACTCTTTGGTTCTCAAAACAATGCAGAACAGCTTCCAGGTTCTGAGATGTCATTCTAACTATCACCTTTCTGTATGTATGAATGAGAAATAAACAAGTTCTATGGACATAAAGTTGAGTTCAGTTTATATGCTGAAGATATGAACCTGAAAATGAAGAAATACGCATAGAAATGAAAAGCATACGTACGTAGTCATTTACTAACACAGGGGATTCAGTATCAGGACTTCCAGCAAGAGAGCTCTCAGGAGTTTCCTGAGCAGATTTTATTTCTTTAACTTGAGGCCCCAGGGTTTCCATTTCAGTCAAAGGTAAGGGCAAACGACTGGGCTGTTGTGATGAATCCACAGTAGCTGGTGGGTCCTGAGGAGCGGCACTATGCAAAGGCTGCTCATTTTCCAAGATGTTGAGGTAACAGGGTTTCACAAGAGAGCTATCTTGGTCATCTGACATCAAAAGAAAGTCTTAACATCAGTTAAGGCAATAACACGAAATGCACGCTAAGAGTGTAATTATGGCACCGAAGACCCAAAAGTGAGCTCTAAATTTTCTTTAGCAATGGTCTTTTAAATTTGATCTAATTTCCAAAAGCAACTTGATGCTAATGAATTAAGAGCTTCCAGGAAAAATATCCAGGAATACAGGTACTTCTATAAACTCTACCTTGCTTGTATGTAAAGATGTTCCATGAAGGTTTTTTTTTGAATGTATACACTGTTTAATTTTTAAAAACTCCTTGTAAAAATAGAGCCCTATTTACTTTTTCCACAAAGGTTTAATGGGGAGAAGAAAAATGTATCTGTGCCAAGTGTCTTCTAGTTTATGTTAGCCTATAATTAGAATTAAAATTATCTTTTTTAATCACAAAAAGGGCACTTTAGTCTTAGAATTGAACATTTTAGATTTCTACCTTTATTAGAAGTTTCTTGTTCTGATGGGACATCTGTGCTCTCTGTTTTTTCAAAGTCATTTTGAAGAACCTAGGAAGAAAATCATACTGTAACAGCAGGGCCGTAACATTTACAGCCACAGTGAAGGGGCTGGTTGTTAGTGGATGATTTTTGTCCAACTTGAGACACAGCAGAACTTCAACATTAACTTCTCAAAGTGTTGCAGGAAGTTGGCTCTGGTTGCAATTTCCAGATTGCCCTATAAATTGCTTCCTCAAAATAATACAAAGAACTGAAAAAGTAAATCTCACTATTTTAAATTATTTTTTCTCAGATTCCATTTTAAAATGAAACTAAGACACATATTAAATATCTGGAGATAAAGTGCATGAGCTGTCCAGGAAGATGTGCTAAGTACCTTAGGCAGAGTGCCAAGTCCCTTCAGTAGAGTGAGAAAAAGCCTGAGCAGCACTTCCTAATTCACAGTGTCCGCTTCAGAGAAAGAATAATGTCGACAGGGTGTGGGGAGACCAGGTGCTCAGTGGTAGTTATTTAAAACCGGTTAAGGAAAACGTGCATTCCCAGGTTTACTCCCTCTACCACAACAGAAAAAGGGAGGTTCTATTTTAAATAAGTTGAAGTAGTGAGCCTCACCCCCGGGGACTGAATAAGGAAAAGGAAAAAATGTCATACTGAAAACAAGGATTCTGCACTCATCGGTGCGATGCTGGGACTCAGCCCTGTTCCCTCAGCTCACTCTGTAGCACCAACTATCCCACTGATGCACCTTAGGCAAGAAGAGGGAAGACATTCTCCTGGAACAGCTACCCAAAGAGCAGACGAACAGGTGCCAACATCTGAGTTCAGACAGCTGCCTGTCCACTGAGCACCCTTCAGTGAGGCTAAAGGAAGCTCCAACCAATTTGCTGCTCTATTATTCTTTAAAATGAACACACAGGTAAATTAAAACTGACCACTGAAATACATTTCATATAAGGATTAGGGCCAAGGAAATCTTCAAAAGTAAAAATAAGGCAGTGCAACTATAAAAGAAAGAAGAAAATGAGATGATTATTTCAAAAGGTTAATCAGACAATATTAAGAAGAAAAAATTAAAATTGTGGGGAGAAGCCAAAAAAAAAAATTTATCAACGAATGATACAGACTGAAAGGACCATTGACTGCCCACTAAAGTGAATTTAAAAAAAACATACTTTCAGCAATGTGCATTTTATAATAAAACTTCCAGCTACAACTGGGAGGGAAAGTATGAAGATTAATCTTCCACACTTTCTGAAGTATCTCATGTTTTTAAGACTTGTTATGAAAAAAAAAGATTAAAACGCCTTCTACATTGCTAATTATGAAAATAAACTAGTCTTTCAGAGCTTACCAAGAGTACTGAAGAGGTGTGCACAATGGGGCTGGGGTCTGACAAGGGGACCTGTAGGCAGTAGTTACCCTGCTGGAGTGTGGGCTGGTCTGGGTTGGAATACCTGAGGGCCATGTTCAGTCTCTTCTGCAGCGTCAGTGTTGGCCTGGAGCGAAGTCTGGACATCCACAGGGCTCTCTTCAAATTCTTCCACTTCTTCTTCCTCATTTTCATCTTCTCCACTTCCATAATTAGTTAAAGCTTGAGTTTCAGCTTTAGACAAATCTAAATTCACCGAGACACAATTCTAAGTAAATTTCATCATCACACTCTTGCATGGACAACTGTCACATACAGTATGTGAAACTGTCTACTCAGTGAGTACCATAAACCAGGGTGCATGGCCAGGTAATTCAGTCAGGATCATCATGGAATTCAAATTTGGTTGTTTGATGCTTAATTCTACATTCTCAACACTCCACCCAACTGCTTCATTCACTAACCTATCAGGAATTAACATGAACACGTGAGGAGCCTTAAACTTACTAATGGACACTGGGCAGCCTTCACTCTCTTCATCGTCTTCTTGATCAGAAACATCAGACCTTACGTTTTGAGGACCTTCATCACCATACAACTCAGATGTTTGAGGTGGCTTTACTGTTTCAGTCTCATCCTTATCCTGTCCACAGGTTAAATTTGGATTATTACAAAAAAGAATGGTCATTATCTAATAAAAACACAGAGAATCATTTGGACAGCCTGGTTTCATTTTTAAAATAAAAAAGCTTACCAGAAGAAGACACTTAATGATATGCTGTTTTTTTCAAGCACTAAGGTAAAAGCTGTTAAATTTTTTAAAGAACCATCATTTCTAGGCACAAATTAATCAGTACGTACTTTATCTTCATCATCAATTTCTCCAGCAGGTAACCCATGTTCTCCTTCAAGAATCCTTTTGGCCTACAGTAAATGAGTTAAACAAAATTTAGCAATATATTTAAGCATGCAATAAACTTTCAAAATGCTACATTTTTGGCTTTCCACACAAGTGTAAATTTATTATTATAATGTCTTGAACTGTCAGACACTGCCCACCTGACTAGTCTATAGGTGCACAGTCTTCAAAAAGTTTATAGAAAAGCATATAATGGAAAAAAGTGCACACATTTCAAAATTTTTCTGCACTAAAATACACTTACTGTTTATTCTGTTTTCCCTCAAGAATCCTCACATATAAAATACATTTCAAGTTTATTAAGTTCCTTAATCCAAACCCCATCCTCATTCAACTCTTACCAATGTCAGCAAATGATACTAAATACACCCAGATGCACATGCCAGAACAAGGATCAAAATACTTCTGTTGCTGCACACTAAGATGCTAGATTCCCTTGCCTCCCTCTATTTTAAAAAAAAAGAGTCCTGGGGTCTTTTGTTTTTCTTTCATTTGTTATGCCATGAATTCATAGGGCATGGGCTCTAGCAGCTGGAGTTCCTTCCCGCTGGTTCTGACAAAGTGGGCTTCTCTGAGGGGAGCGGGCTGGCACTTCAGCTGAACCTTTCATCTTCAGTCTGAACTCATCTATAAGGTCCATATCACGGATCATATCTCACTGCAAAAAACATTACGACTGCTTATCTAAAGCAGACCGAAAGGAAACAGACTCATGAGTTTACTTTAAGCTGTAAGCAATGGCTGAAATTTTCTGAAATTTATACCTAAAATTATAAACATGAAAAATGTGAAACAGATCATCTTAATGTGCTGTCCCTCTCATGAACAGTACAGCCAGAGTCAAGTACAGCTACAGAAAAGGTCTCCCTGGTAAGCATCAACATGAGGAGTAACAAGTTCAATTTCACATGTGATCAAGACCAATTTAGTGCTAAATAGCTACTGGCATCCCTCATGGACAGCAGTCCAAGTCCCAGCTCCACTTCTGAACCAGCTTCCTGCTAACATGTCTGGCACCCAGGTGGGAGACTGGATACAATTTCAGTCTCTTGGCCTAACCATGGCTATTGTTATGTTAGATATGAGCCAACAAAGGGAAGACTCACTCTCTCTCCTCCCTATGCCTTTAAAAAGAATTTTCACCTAAAAAAAAAAAGACCAATTTGATATGGTACAAAGAACTCCTGGAACAGGAAACCAAGGCCCTAACATACAAGCATGTGTATTTGCAGGGTATGATCTCCAGGTGACTTACCTTCTCAGCATCTATGGGGATTGGTAACTTCCACGGACCAAACCTCAGCCCTTCTCTCCTCTTTAGGGACTGAACGAGTGGCAATCAAGTGAACTGGACTCTGACAATGTACATTTAGTATCAACTGCTATCTACATTCATGATCTTTCATGCCTATTGCTACTCTTGAGACTCAATGCATTTCTAGCACATGTAGTGATTTATAATCTGATTAAATAATGCTGCCACAATAACTACTTCTGCTGGTGTCCAACAGGACTTTAGTTAGTAATAACCATCTATATGCCAACGGTAACTACTTTTAAAATAAAAATCACTATTTACCTCTTTGGCATAAGACTGTATCACTTCAGCTGCTTCTATTTTCCTTTTGCATCTCTGTTTAACGCTTATACTATTATTGTCCAAATCTTGCATGAGCTTAAAGAAAGCTAACTCATTAAACAACACTTCGGATATCTCTACAAGAAGATCTTCTCCACAGTCTTTCAGTTTTCTGCCAGCAAATTTTGCAAGTGAATCCTATTCAGAAATAAACAAGATAAAAATGTTAAGACTACAGTAAATTTCATTAGTGAGCAGAACAATGAAGATGGTTAAAGTTTAAATTGTAACACTTAAGTACTGAAAAACAAAATTAATGACTATTAAGAAAACAAATTTATAATTATAAAGAACAGTACCATATTACTAAGTAAGATTCTTGCTATCCCGCTTCACAGAGTTGGAGACAGATGAGAAAAAACATATAGTTATACATCTTGAATTCCTGCTTAAGGTAACTGCCAGGCTGGTGGTGTAGCCTCTCAGCTGCCTCCCGACACGCCCACATTCCGTATATCAGGCGGAGTCCTGGCTGCTCCACTTCTTACCTAGTCCCTGCTAAGGGGCTGGGAGAACAGTGGAAAAGGGCTCAAACACTTGGCCCCTTGCACCTATCTACTGAAGCTCCTGGCTTCTCTCCCTCCTTGCCCTCTCTTCCCTTTTCCCTCCCAAATGCTCTCTCTCTAACTCTGACCTCTAAATAAATAAATTTTTTAAACACACACACACACATAACTATTGTATACAAATGAATAACAGGAATTTTTCAGATATTAAATTCTAAGACAGGAGACTCAATCTCCCCAAAGTTGCTAGAAACAATAGGAGAAACATGAGAAGTCTGCAAAAAGTCCACGGAATAAGTGTATTCTGAAAAAAACTTATTTTTTGCATTAAAATAATCTTATCACAAGAACTTTCTGAGATCCCCGTGAAAAATACAAAGTCTACCTTACTTAACCAAGTACTTTTAAAGTTTCCCCTATTACATTAGGTAATCAATAATTTAATTTAAATTTTTCTCCCGAAGCAATAAACTTTAGTTTTATTCATGTTGAAATGTAACATCAAACAAATCTGCTATATTCTTTTAATATTCTATGCAATATTTAATGTAAATTAATTTTTCAGCATATTCTTCTGCAAAACAGAGTGGGTGAAACTAAAGAAATCAAGTTTTCTTGGACTTGGGGGGGGAAACCTTATTTTTCTGGACTCTATCCATAATTATATAATGGACAAAATTATGAAAGTGCTACATTAATCATGATAAAAAAAAATACTTAAATTATGAATTTTTTTCAGCCTTATTCTAAAACGAAGTTACCTCTTTCTGCAGAAATAAGTTAGCTACATTTAAATATTTTATATTTCAGATATTTCTTAAAAACATTCTTCCCAGTCATCATTTTCTGCCAGCAAATTTTACCAGTGATTCCTGTTAAAAAGTGTCTATAATGCTCAACACCACTGATTCCTTATATTCCTGATAAACCACACATAAGTACCACTCAACTGAACAAGAACAATTTAGAGACAATTACTGAATTTATGCTTTAGTCTTAATACAAACAAGATGAAAAAGTACATCTGCATCTGACATAGGATTTCAAAAAGTGAGTAAAGCGATAATACTATCTCTAAAACTCAAGGGAAACTGTGGGATCAGATGAGAAAATGTGGTATCTAATTTGGAGTAACAATGTTAATTGCTTCGATGAGAAAACAGGTGACTATGTAATGGTAATAACTGAATGCAGTGATGAATGAGGGTTCTTCACATAACCGAGGCATTTTCAATGTCAGCACTACTGACATTTAGGACAGGGTAACTGGTGGCTGTGGGAAGCTGTACTGTGTCCTGTCGAATGTTCACCATCAAGTCTAGCTCTCCCCAGCGCCTTTTCCCTTCTTCCATGACCAACTGGCTGCAGACATAGCTGAGTACCTCAAGGGGAGTAAAACCGTCCCTGCTCATAATCATTGGTCTTAAATCTATTACTTATGAGATCTGAAATTTTTCAGGTTTAAGTTAAAACTTATTTGGTAGAAAGTCACAGAACACATTCTAAACATTCCAAACTTGAAATGTTGTTGAGTGGCCAGCGGAAAAGTCAAATCAATATTTTTACTGGAATTTCAAAATGCCATAAGGATTATCAAGTTAAAGCAGATTATAATATTTTTTAGACTAAGAAAAAGAATAATTGAAAAGTCTTTTAAAATGTCATCCAAAATGGATGCTACAAATGATGTCTATTTTTTAAAAAATGGTGTAATACTGGGAAGTATGCCCCTCCCAACCCCCCACAAAACCCTAACCAGATAATACACACTGGTTAAGTTGTATCAGTAAAAACTCTTACCTGTAATATGCTTCCAAGTTGTTTATGAAAAAACTTTACAAACTCCTTGCTCTCATCATTTTGCTGGGTAAGGGTCAAAACCATGCGTCTTACCGAAGTAAGAAGTTGAGAAGAGCATACTTCATCCATGTGTTCCTAAGAAAAGCTCTAATTGGTTAGAATACAAACTTACCTACTGTTGAAAAAACATTTATCCATATAACATGAAATGTTGTTGTTCTTATGTAGATGGTGTGTCAACCTTCAAATGTACATATGGAAAAGTCATTCATAAGAAAAGCCAACCGGGGCCTGCGCTGATGTAGCAGGTAAAGCTGCTGCCTGCAGCACCGGCATCCCATATGGGTCCAAGCTATAGTCCTGGCTGCTCTACTTCCAAGCCAGCTCCCTGCTAAGATGCCTGAGAAAGCAGAAGGCCCAAATACCTATACTCCTGCACCTACACAAAAGAGAAGAGGCTCCTGGTTTCAGACTAGCCCAGCTCTGGCCAATGCAGCCATTTGGGAAGTGAACCAGTGGATGAAAGAAATATCTCTCTCTCTCGTCCTTCTCTAACTCCGCCTTTCAAATAAATTCAAAAAGAAAATAAAAGCAAACTCACTGTACATTGCTACATATACTGATCATACATTGATTTTCTATACAAGATAATGACCTGTAGAAGAAATGGGTTCACCAATATTTATCACAGCTACTCATGCTAGTTTCTATTTTGCCTCTATGTTTACAGTTCAATTCATATCAACAGTCTTACAACCATACTCACAACCCAGCTCCTTCTCTATTGTAATATTCTTACTTAGCTTCTGAACCTTGGCATTACTGACATTCTGTGCACTGTATGATGTTTAGAAGCACACTGGCTTCTCCACCTTCATTCTATTCCCCATTTGTTACAACTGAAAATGTCTCTAGACATTAATAAACTGCCTAATGAACACCCCACCTTAGTTTCAACAACCCATTTCAGGCGGGTCTCATTTTTAATTGCTTTTTACAAGCAAGTGCAGAGTCCAAAAAAAAAATCTCATTCAGGTTTAACTTCCTGAGTCTACAAAATACCAATGTCAATTAATTTCAGGGTTCTATAGCCTTTTCCCAGTCAGTTCACCCCTTGATAGAAATCTGTAAAATAAGGTAGCCAAACTACACGATACCCAAGAACACCCCTCTTTGACTTTGGGTTCAGCATTCTGGTGTGGTGTATTCAGCTGCAGCTAGCAACACTGGATCCTGTATGAGAGAACTGTTCCAGTCTTGGCTACTCTGCTTCAAATTCAGCTCCTTGCTAATATGCCTGGGGAAAGCAGTAATGATGGTCCAATATTATAGGTATTACTGAAGGAGCAGAAAAGGAAAAAGGCATTGAGAACTTATGATGTAAAAGTTGAAAATTTCCCAGGTCTTGAAGGAGACAGGGACATCCAGATACATGAAGCTCAAAGAACCCCAAGCAGAGTGAACCGAAAAAGGGAAGACATATTGTCCTCAAACTATCAAATGTTAAAGGCAAGGAGAGAATTCTAAAGACAGTAAGAAAAATGTCAAAGTAAATACACAGAAAAATGAATTAGACTGACATCAGACTTCTCAGTGGAAACCCTACAGCCCATAAGAAAGTGAGATGATATAATCAGAATATACAGAATTCACTACCATTGGACTACCCTTACAAGAAATTCAAAGGATGGCTTGCATCAGAAGTAAACAAACACAGGTTACCAGCAAACTCACAGTCACATGTAATCAAAACCCAATCAATAACATGACAGGTCCTGGTTCTTATCTATCAATAATAATCTTGAATATAAATGGGTTAAATTCACCAACCTAAAGTTGGCTGGACAAAAAACCATGGTTCCATTATACGCTGCTTACAAGAAACTCAATTCAAAGATATATACAGACCATGTAGGGTAAGGAAAAGATACACCAGGCAGATGCAAATCAAAAGCCAGCAGGCATGACTACCATGATATCCGTTAACGCAGACTTTAAATAGGAGATAAAGGACATTGTATTTTGATAAAAGGTTCAGTTTAGCAAGAAGACATAACAATCACAAATATATATGTACTAATTATTGTTAATTATTCTTTACCATGAGTTAGAAACTCTAATGCCTCACAATTCTTTTTTTTTTTTTTCCAATTATTGTTATTGGAAAGTCAGTTACAGAGAGGACACAAACAGAAAAATCTTCCATCTGCTGGTTCACTCAAGTGGCTGCAACAGCCAAAGCTGAGCTGATCTGAAGCCAGCAACCAGCGGATTCTTCCAGGTTCCCCACGCAGGTGCAGGGTCCCAAAGCTTTGGGCCATGCTCCACTACTTCTGCTTTCCCAGGCCACAAGCAGGGAACTGAATGGGAAGTTGAACATGCAGGAAACAAACTGGTAGCCATACAGGATTCTGACGTATGCAAAGTGAAGATTTAGCTAGTAGGCTACCAGGCTGAGCCTTCTTTTTTTTTTAAAGATGTATTTATTTTTATTGCAAGGACAGGTTTCCAGAGAGAAAGGGAGACTGACAGAAAGAGCTTCTATCCACTAGTTATATACACAGAGAGGAAGAGAGATTAGAGAAAGGTCTTCCATCTGATGATTCTTTCCCAAGTGGCCACAATGGCTGGGACTGAGCTGCTCCAAAGCCAGGAGCCAGAAGCTTCTATCAGGTCTCCCACATGGGTACAAGGTCCCAAGGTTTTGGGCCATCCTTTGCTGCTTTCCTAAGCGATAAGCAGAACTAGTAGTCCATATGGGATCCTGGCACTTGCAGAGGGAGGATTAGCCAATTGAGCCATTATGCCAGGTCTGGCACTACTTATTTCTTAAGAACTGGGTCAATCTTTGCTAGGACTTTTTGATTTCTACAATGTATTGCCTACTTTTCCCCATTCTCTATCACCTGGACTTTGTCTAAGTCACCATTTTTCATCTGATCTTACTTCATTCCTGAAACATCACGATCAACTGTCCAAAACAAAGAAACTTTTTGATTCTGCCTTGGTAAAAATCTAGGCTGTTTCCTTTTGAACTTTCAAGCAAAATCCAAATTTCTAGTCATGTCCTCAATTGGCTCCTGCCTTTTTTCAATGTAATCTCACACAAATTCTCTCTCTTCATACAGGCTTTCATTCAGTTCTTTTAATAGCCAGCTAATTCCTACCATACAATCTTTTCACTAAAACCAGAAAGACCTTGCTTGGTTCTATGCTGACTCTGCTCACATCTCTGCTTACATGTTCCCTCTTTGGAAACTTTCTCTCAGTACCCAACTGAAAAGAGATACCATCTTATCAACAAATTTCAATATTCTATATGGTATGTAGCTAACAGGTAAAATCCATGTCTACTTTTCAATGCATAGTGAATATTATGTAACCATTCAAAACTATCAACAGAAGAACAATGCTCTTGAAAGATGATTATAATAAATCTTAAAAAGCAGTACAAGCATACACATGTGCAAAATAGAAGAGAAAGATGCAGAAGATGTTGTTAGGGCTATCTTTGAATAAAAAACTAGAAGCCATTTTTTTTACCTTCTATCTTTTATATGAATTAAAAAGCAAGCGACACAAAGATTACTGATTTATTAAGATCACTGTTTACCTTCAAAAAAGGAATGACTTCTTTCATAATTGCTTTAATTTGTCGATCCAACTGTTGAGTATCAATTCTAGGACATGGGATGGCTGAAACATCACTCATAGGCTGCTGTGAGCTATGATTTTCAATATTGGGAGTCTCTGTTTTTAAGAAGAAAATTTTATATTAACAAAATTAGCAAAAAAGCCCCTATCATTATATCTTTGAATTTATGCATAATTTTATGGAAAGTCATGCTTTCATGCCAAGTGATACAAAGAAATATCCATGTAGTAATAGCATTCTGGGCAACTGAAAGAAAACTCTAAAGGCAGTCACTTGGTGTAGAAGTTAAAACACAACTTGTGATGCCAATACATCACGTGTGAGTGCCTGTTCAAGTCCCAACCCAACTCCCAATCTGCTTCCTGCTGATGCGCACCCTGGAAGGCAGCATCTGATGGCTCAGATTACTGTATCGAATGAAAGATTTAGAGTAAAATAGTAAAGACACCCCCCCTCCCCAAAAAACCCTACTAGGCAGGGCTTTTAATTTAAAAACATTTTTAAAATTTATACTTGGAATTTCAGAGATTCCAAGACAGAGAGAGCTTCAGTCTCTTGGTTCACTTTCCAAATTCCTACATTAGCTGGGATTGGACCTCAATGTGGGGCTTCCACAGGTTGGCAGGAACTCAGTCACTTGAGCCACTGCTTGCTGCCCCTCAGGATGCGCATTTAGAGCAAGCTGGACTAACTGGAAGCACAGGCAGGACTTGAACCCAGGCACTCTGAAAAGGGAAATCAGCATCCAGAAGAGTATCTTAGTCACTGCACAAATACCACCTTGCCCTCAACTTTTTTTTCCAAATGCAACTATCCTAATCAACCCATACACTTACCTTCTAGATTATTAACTGTGTTAGTGGCAACAGCCCCATCTTCATCCTCAATCCTGCAGGGGCATCTCATATCTGAGTTACTTTCAACTTCAGTCTTTACACGCTCATATTCTCTCATCCTGGCTAATGCTTGATCTAAGTGAATCACAGTGTTACCTGCATTTGAACAGAAATATTTCTAGCATGTAAAAGCAAGCTTTTTCATGTAGTACTCATAATTTATCCCCCAAAATAATGTTTGAAATAGGAAGTGGGTATTTTTAGAATATTAAGCCCATTATTTTCCTCATCATATCCTATTTTTTTCATTTAAATAGTACAAATCTAGACAAATTCTGATGAAAATAATGTAATCTAAGACAAGCTAATACAGCATGGAAAAACCTATCAATACAATTGCCCTATTCTTATATGTTCACTTCAGATGAAGCAAGTGGTAAAGCAATAAGGGTCAGAAAAAATAAAAATTAATGTGAATAGGCAAGATTCAGACACTGAAAGGACATGACAACCCAAAGGGGAAAAGACAACCACAGAGTAATTCTCTATAACAAGATAATTCAAGCACACACTTTGTATCCATCTACTCAGGAGCTATAGCTTAGGATCTTCCATAGGAGAGGTAAAAGGATGACAGTATTTTGGTAAAAGGTAGATACCTAATAATAAGGTAAGGCTTGGCCCTTTTTTTTGTAGTGGAAAAATATCTTTGGAATTATATAAATCTTCTTGTTATAGGAACAAACACTAGAATACTAAGATATTATGTTATCAAATAAACATCTGAAAAGTATGACTGAATCCACAGGAATCTTCTGATAGGCCGCAGCATGAAAAATCTATCAGGTATCTACATAACCTTGTTTTCCCTAACCTTTCCAAGTCTAGGACTTCAGTGTATCCTCTTCGAAGTCAGGCAATTTTCTAAGTACCATTTATTACTCAGCGGGAAAACATGCAGTGTGTCATACCTCAGAGTGTTCACCGAATGTTATTTATGCTAAGAAATTTTAAAAAATTTTTAAAGATTTATTTATTAGAAAGGTAGGGTGTGGGGCAGGGAGAGATCTTCCATGTGCTGGTTCTCTCCAAACGGCCACAGCAGCAGGGCTGGGTCGGGCTGCACTAAGGAGCCCAGAACTCCCTCTGGATCTCCCATGTGGGTAATCGGAACCCACGTATTTGTGTCACCTTCCACTGCTTTCTCAGGCACATTAGCAGGGAGCCAGATCAGAATTAGAAAACTCAAACCCATACTCATATGCAGTTAGGTAGCAACTAACAACTTAATACTGGTTATAAGAAATCTGAATTCTTAACTCATATTATCAAGTATTTTTATTGAAAATATAATTTGATGAGGTCTGAATTTTTTCTACTAGCTGGATGACTTTTAAGGATCTTTCCCTCAAAGAGGAGAAATTAATATTTTTCTGCTTACTCTTTAAGTCAGAAAGTTTATTTTTCACAAGAAACAGCAAAGTACATAAGATCCCTATTTAGCTCATATATGAAAGTCATTAAGATCTAATGATCTGTTGAGGGTTAAAGAGTTAATATAAGATTCTTGAATTTTAACTTGTAAATTCATACTCTTTCAAACCGTTTGCACCTTTTAGACTTCTCTGTGTGTTAAAACTAAAAAATTCTTACCTAGATCATCTGTTGCAAAAGGTTCAAAATTTGAAGATACAGAAATGACACTAGCATTATCAGCATCGTTTTGTTCACTTATTTTATGTGTTTCTCTTTCAAAATTCTTCTCAAAAGTTTCCTAAGTTATGGTAAAATAAACAAACTCAAATCACTAATATTTCACTTAAACTTATTACATTAAAACTTACAGGAAAAATGAGTATTTCCACAAAATTATATACCTAAGAGATGTTTGTGTTACTTGAGTACTCCATCCAAACAAGAGTGTCATTTAAGTTATTAAAAGATAAAGATTGAACACAGCCACAGAACAATAAAATACTAAGTAACCTTGCACAACAAGTGTCATTATGTAGGTGAAAATATACAGAGCTAGCTATGATTAAATCGCAGAATGGCCAAATTAATTAACATTTTAAATCATCTCTACACCTGGAGTAACATTTTCCTACTTCCAGTTCTTAACAGTGCCTAGCATATTACTAAATCATGTAAAAAAAAAATGAAATGACAGCAGTGTTCATTTTTTTAAAAAAAATTTTTTTACTGAAGTATAGTTCACATACATTAATGTACCCATTTTAAGTGTACAGTTTGATAAACTTTGACAAACATATACATTCATGGAACAAATTCATTAAAAAATTTTTTTTTTGTTGTTGGAAAGTCAGATGTACAAAGAGGAGAAGACACAGGAAGGAAGATCTTCTGTCCGATGATTCACTTCCTAAGTGGTCACAATGGCTGGAGCTCCACCAATCCAAAGCCAGGAGCCAGGAGCTTCTTCTGGGTATTCCACATGGTGCAGAGTCCCAGGGCATTAGGCTGTCCTTGACTGCTTTCCCAAGCCACAGGCAGAGAGCTGGATGGGAAGCGGAGCTGACAGGATGAGAACCGATGCCCATATGGGATCCCAGTGGGTGCCAAGGCAAGTACTTTATCTGCTAGGCTACCACATCGGGCCCAGAAAAAGTTTTTAATCATTATTTCCATCAACTCAAACTTGTTTTGCATCCCTGTACAGTTAATGAGCACCACAGTCTCCCCATAAGATTTTTATCACCATAAGTGAGATTTGGTTAGTCTAGGACCTCAGATACATGTATCACACAATATATACTCTATACTGTTTGACTTCTTTTGCTCAGAATGTTTCTAAAATTAATTCATGTTGTGTGTTTTAGAAGTTCATTACTTTAAATGGCTGAATAGTATTTAATTGTATGGATATACCAATTTATTTATCCATGTATTTATTGATGCTATGGGTTGAGACTATCATGACTAAAGACACGAAGAGCATTAATATACAATATTTTTGTGGAACTTGTTTTCACTTCTCTTAGATGAACACCTAGAAATTGTCAGCTCACAGCCAAGTTTATGTTTAACTTTATAAAACACTGCCATGCTGCTTTCCAAAGTGGCTATGCAATTTTACAATCTAAAAGCAATATGAAAGTTTGAGTTGTTCTAAATTCTCACCAATACTTCTGTCAGTTTTTCAAACTTTAGCTACTCTGGGGAGTGTATGGTGGTATCACATTATGTTACAATATACATAAAAGCCATACATATTTTCTTTCATGAAACACTTTTTCAAATTTCTTGTTCATGTAAACTGTTGTCCTTTAAGTTCTAAGCATTTTGTATGCAAGAGGAGTAAAAATTTTGCCAACATTATGGTTATAAAGTGCACCCCCCATTTTCTTTTAGTTTTTTTTTAGAAGTTTCATCTTTTATAGATTTTTAAAAAGATTTATTTGTACTATTTTTTTCTCCCCCTCCCCTATTTTTATTATTTTTTAAATTGGGAAGTCAGATATACAGAGAGGAGGAGAGACAGAGAGGAAGATCATCCATCCGCTGATTCACTCCTAAAGTGAGCCACAACAACCAGGGCTGAGGCGATCCAAAATCAGGAACCAGGAGCCTCTTCCGGGTCTCCCACGCGGGTGCAGGGTCCCAAAGCTTTGGGCCGTCCTCGACTACTTTCCCAAGCCACAAGTAGGGAGCTGGATGGGAAGCAGGGCCACTGGGATAAAGTGGTGCCCATGTGGGATCTTGGCACACTCTAGGCAAGTAATTTAGCCACTGGGTTACTGTGCCAGGATTTACTGTTTAGAAAATTTCAGGTCAAGTCAAATTAATTTTGTGTATGTTGTGAGAGAGGAGTATGTCACATTTACATTTTGATAAAAACACAATTGTGTTTTTCCTCCCAGCTACTTATGTCTCCGTCACTGCTACAAGTTCAGTAGCCAGTGCTGTTCTAGAGGAGTGTACACGAACACTAGATGCTGGGCTGCTGCTGCTGTTGCCAACTAAATAGTATAAGCAAAGGAAAGCTGGTGCCATTAATCCTAACTTAAAAATTTCTAAGAAAGAATAAAAGAACTGATTTAGTTATTTCAAAATACGGATGCTAGTGCCTATGTATCAAATGATGTTTTTTAACAAGTTATTTAACTTAATCATGCCTACATGAAACAGGGATGTAAGAAAAAATACCATAGTTTGATCCACAAAATCATTTTTAAAAAAAGATGTTTAAGGACAGACTATTCATTTTCTACTAAGTTATTTCAATGCCCAGTAAGTTTTAACATAATCCAACATCTTCTACGTTTAATGTACACAGCTGAACCTCTTTTTTATTTTCCACAAAAAAATATACAATTTTCAGTTAATTATAACCAATCCCAAGCAACATATTGACTGATTCTATTTGAATACCATAAAGTCAATTAAAATAATTTAGTTTTTTATTCATGGTAGTATAGGAGTTCAAACCTATTGCAGAAACACTTCAAGCAGAGGGCCCGGCAAGGTAGCCCAGTGGATAAAGTCCTCACTTTGCATACACTGGGATCCACATGGCGCTGGTTCTAATCCCATCAGCTCTGTTTGCCATCCAGCTCCCTACTTGTAGCCTGGGAAAGCAGTCAAGAATGGTCCAAAGCCTTAGGACCCTGCACCCATGTGGGAGACTCAGAAGCTCCTGGATCCTGGCTTTGGATCAGCTCAGCTCCAGTCATTGCAGCTGCTTGGGGACTGAATTAATGGACAGAATACCTTCCTCTCTGCCTCTCCTCCTCTCTGTATATCTGAATTTCCAATTAAAAAAAATTTTTAAAAACACAGCACTTTAAACAGAAACAATAAGTGTTGTCTTAAATGTGAGTAAATTAAAGAACAAAAATTCTGGAAAAAAAAGGTTGCGAGGAAATGATCTGAAGAACAGACATAATGTTCTTTTGAGCAAACACCATATTTTCAGAAAAAAGATAGTTAACATTTCAGTGCTGGGCAGAAAAACAGAAATGTGCTTCCAACTATCTCTAGCACATAGTTGGTCATCAATTATAGCATGCTTTTTAATTTTAACAATTTGAAATTTTATTTTTAATATTGTTACATACTTGAGAGGAATATAAGCCCATGTGGGCCTTCGATGAGGGTGAGGTATGGAAAAAGGTAGGCGGGACAAATGTCAAGCCTTTTTTTCCTCCTGTGTTTGTAGTGGGGGAAGTGGAAGAGACTGCTTCTTGCTGTCAAACTACATCACCACCCTGGGAGGGGGATGGTTATTTGATGATGCCTTAGACATTTTGATGTGGGGAAGAATGTTCCAAGGGTGTTACTTGAGTGATTTTTGGAAGTATGACAGCCAGCTCTTCTAGGCCAGTGGAGGACATGGAGTGTCTTGCTAAAGGATGGAAAAGTAGAACTGGTTGGACAACTCTCCTGGCCAATCTTTGCAGCAGGTATCTGGGTCTGTGGATGCGCTAAGGTAGATGTGACCAGCTAAGAGACCTTGGAAGACTGTCTCAACCTTGGTGCAACGGAGCCATCAATGTCTCTAATGTATCAATTACAGCATCTGAACTATGATCCTCTAGGTGCTATAGCGATCATGAAAAAAGAATGCATTTGTGATTTCACAAACACATAAAATCAGTTTTAATAGGATCAAGCTCTGATCTTTCATACAGACAAATTCAAATACCCAGTATTTGACTACACCTCGGTGTACTAGTAATTCCATCATCCAGACAGCTACTTGAGAGGTGCTACTCAGAGGATGGAGTTCACTGAATTTGAATCATTCTCTACCATTATTCCTGACTTCCAAACACTTATAAATGTATTCAAAAATTTCTCTATCAATTAAAATACACTAAACAAACCATTTCATTATCTAGGCTTTTTAAATCCAAATATCTGAGTTAGCCAATTGTTGTTAGCACAATCAGACTGCAGTCTCATTCACTAATATATATATATGTATATTTTTGTATATATTTAAGATATTTTTTTACTTTCACTTGAAAGACAGATTTACAGAGAATGGAGAGACAGAGATCTTCCATTCACTGATTTACAACACATATGGCCTCAATGGCCAGAGCTAGGCCAGTCTAAAGCCAGGACAACAACTTCCACGTTTCCCATGTGGGTGCAGGGGCCCAAAGACCTGAATCATCCTTTACTGCTTCCCCAGGCATATCAGCAGGGAGCTGGATTGGAAATGGGGTAGTCAGGACTTAAACTGATCCCCATATAGAATGCTGTATTGCAGGTGGAGGCCTAACTAACCATGACACAACTCCACTCATAAATGCCTTTTTAAAAAAAAAATATTTATTTTTTAAAAATTTTTATTGGAAAGTCAGATATACAGAGGAAGAAAGACAGAGAGGAAGATCTTCCTTCCAAAGATCCATTTCCCAAGTGGCCGGGGTGGCCAGAGCTGTGCCGATCCAAAGCCAGGAGCCCAGAGCCTTCTCCGGGTTTCCCACGAGGGTGCAGGATACCAAGGCTTTGGGTTGTTCTCGACTGCTTTCCCAGGTCATAAGCATGGAGTTGGATGTGAAGAGGGCTGCTGGGATTAGAAGTGGTGCCCATATGGGATCCCAGAGTATGTAAGGTAAGGACTTTAACCACTAGATTACCATGCCAAGTCTCACTCCCTTTTCTTTCTTTTTTTTTTTTTTTTGGTAAAGATTGATTTATTTATTTGAAAGGCAGAAAAAACAAAGACAGGGAATGGGGGTGGGAGGAGAAATCTTTCATCTGCTGAATGACTCCTCAAATGGCTGTAATGATGGAACAGAGCCAGTCTGAAGCCACGAGCCAAGAGGTTATTTCAAGGCTCCTAGGTGGGTGGCAGGAACCCAAAAACTTGGGCTATCTTCCTCTGTTTTTCCAGGCCAGCACCAGGGAGCTGGATCAGAAGTGAAACAGCCAGGACATGAAGTAGCATCCAAAGGGGATGTCACTGCTGTAAGTGCTGGCTTTACCTGCATGGTCCTTCACTGAATGACTTGATATGAACACATGTCATATTGAATGTATTGAATGTATATAAAGACAACCCTATGTTGAGCAACAGAGATACTCATTTACATATAGTTTGGTATTCTGTGCTATATTTTGCTTGTGTTTTATGCCTAACCCTTATAAATTAAAGAATGCATTATACCCAGCCTTAGAAAAAGTTAAAAATAAAATAAGATATAATTACAATTTTACAACTTACTTAAATTTTGTTCACTACAAACTGAAATTACATCTACATTTCACTCATCATTATCAGCTTACATCATCAGTGGTGGCAAGGCTTTCACTGGGAGTCAGTTCTGAGTTGGACGCTATCCAAGTGCCAGAGTTCACTGACTTGACATTTCCCCCCTCTTTTTCATGGCTCTCAGAAACATGTCTGGATAATATGTCCTAAAAAAGAAAGTAAAATAGTCATTTATACAAGACTAACTTGCTTAATATCAAATTTGTGTTACAAAGGTAAAAGCAAAAGCAGACAGAAGGGCAAATACAATCAGTTACCTCCCATCTCACAGGCTGAATATGGGGGAGAAGTAACATTAAAGAAAAAAAAAAAAGGAAAGACTGACTAGAAACACCTAATCTAAGATCCTGGGCAGTACCCCAGAAGCTAAAATTTTCACCTTGCACGTGCTGGGATCCCATATGGTGCCAGTTCATATCCCGGCTGTTCCACTTTCCTTCTAGCTCCCAGCTTGTGGCCTGGGAAAGCAGTCAATGATGGCCCAAAGCTCTGGGCCTCTGCACCCATGTGGGAGACCTAGAAGAGGCTCCTGGTACCTGGCTTCAGATTGCCTCAGTTCTAGCTGTTGTGACCGCTTGGGGAGTGAACCAGTGAATGGAAGATCTTTTTCTCTAACTTTTCTCCTTACATCTGATTCCCCAAAAAACATACATAAATCTTAGAAAAAAAAAAAACCTTGTTCTAAAAGTTGCTTCAGCTACATAGTAAGTTTTAAATAAAATATCAAAATAAACATAGGGAAAATAGGTGAAAATAAATATGGAACAAAGATATACTTAAGTCTACAGAAGTAACTAGATAAAAATCACAACAGCGTAGGGGAAAGAATGTTAGGAACCAGATACCTGCAGTGCATATAAAGCCCTCTGTCTCAAGTAGTCTGTATTAAGCAGTTGAAGCTCATGGAAAAGTTCAATAAGAAAATGTGGCCGAGATTCATTTTGAGAAATTAATGTAGCCACTTCAGAATAAATGGTATCCCGCAAAGCTTCAAACATGGAAAAATCGCTGCCAGTTTCTGGAAGATACAAATTTAGTATTGAAATACTTTTGTTACAATTTCTATTTACTTGAAACATCACTCTAAGCTTTAACTTACTAAACAAACAAACAAAAAACCAAACCACACACACAACTCAATTTTAGGGCTTTTAGTCACAGAAAAATGTTTAAGATTATCAATTAAAAAAAACTTTTATAAACATCAAGATGTTTTACATTAGATAACTGTTTAGAAGTATGAAAAACCTTACTTAGAATTACTTAGGACATTTATTTCTCAATAAAAATAACCTAGAAAACTTTATATACTTCATGGGAATAATCAATGAGACTCTTTTAGCAGATGGTAATTTTTTTCATTAATATGAACACAGGAAAGTTGTTTATTTTGTTCACAGAAAACAGACTGAACAGTAACAATGAAAGCCTGTCTTTTAAGGTCAACACAGTCAAGTCAGCAATTCTAAAGACCTCATCTACAACTCAAGAGAAGTCCCATACTGATGCCTAACTCCATTTGAAACTGAACTTAATAGGTCAATTCCACTTATTCACACATTCAGTAAAGAGTGGAACAGTGACTCATTTGAATTTCAGTTTCACAGAATAAAGGTATGACTATTCCAATTAGCTAATTTCTGCTATACATAAATTTATTGGTAACACAGAACTATTTACTCTTAAATGTGTGTGTGTTTCTTCCCCCAGTCCTTAGAGTAGAAATTACGAACTAGTCATTTTGAATAATTAATAAGAATAAAAAAAAATAGTCATTATTGCTGTCAAATTCTGTAACTTTCTAGGGCAATGGTAGAACCAAAAGTAGGCAGCTATATCTTCACATTCTGCAAAAGATGAGTGAGTGATATACTGTAAGGAAAAGATTTTAAATGTTGAGTGCACTTTGAAATAACTGCAAGATATAAAAAATCTCATTTCTATAAGAAAGGGATATGAAAATTCAAAAGGAATATGCTTTGATGAAAAAACCGATTAGTTAAGTATTATTTCCAAAAATATCCTGTAAAAATAATACTTATGGGACCTCTTTATCTTGCCTTAGAAAATTACAAATGAGTGCTGAGACTCAATAGTCTTATCCTCCACCTCCACCTCCAAACGCCAGCATCCCATTTGGTACCACTCCCTGTCCAGGCTGCTCTACTTCCGATCCAGATTCCTGGTTGGGACCTGAGAAAGCAGAGGAGGATGGCTCAGATCCTTGAGCCCCTAAACCCATATCAGAAAACCAGGGGAAGCTCCTTTCTCTGGTCTTTGTGGCCATTTGGGGAGTCAACCAGTGGCTGGAGGCTCTTATTCTCCATCTCTCCTTTTCTCTGTAATCTGCCTTTTATAATAAATAAATAAATAAATAAATAGGCGATACAAACTTTTCTTGGTTTAAAAATGTTCAAATATGATAAAGTACAAAGATGATACTTATATTATTGTAAGTAGAACTACAATTATCTGTGTAAGAAATCAATTTTGTGAAAAAATTCAGATACAAAGATGATTTGGTAAGAATTCTCCATTTACTAATTACAGCAGGGCTATCATTGGTTAATTTCAAAAATGTTTATTATTTCAAACCAATAAGAACATTTAACATCTTCAAAAATCTTGTTATATGATAAAGTTATTACTCTAAATTAAGACTCATTAACAATTAAATTGCTACCAAATAATAAACTATGGGAAACACAAGCTGTATCATCCTTTCTATAGTCAGCAGGTAGAAAGTTGTTTCTCCTGAGCTATACTGATAAGCTTTGCCTTAGAATTTCCTAATTTCAATCATGTTTCTCTGCTCTTATTTTGATTTTATTCCATTTTCGGAGTTCTTTTCTTGCAAAGCACCACTGCTATATTCAACTCAGTTCTGGATCCTTCTTTTCAGATTCCTCTAGATATGTAAGCAGGCAATTTATTTTTCACTCATGTGCAGCTGCAAGAGGAGCTAAAGAATATTTATAATAATAAATAATACAGAATTATATTTAAATAACATATACACAAAAACTAGCTTGTGAGACTTTATCTAGCTTTTCATGTTTTTTACTTATCATAGTCTCTATATGTTAGAGCTGATCTGGAAGTTTATTTTTTATAGATATTGACTAGCAATGAGAAATAAGCATTAACATAAAAAGATCTCCAGATATATTAATTCCTTTAAGGAATTAAGAAATAAAAATAACTTCTAATCAAATACTAAATCATAAAACTGGATTCTATCACCTTTCTACATGTGTTGATCAGGCTGCACACACATAAAATGAAACAAAAAGCAGCCAATTTCACCAATCAAGATTTATACATAAAAACAGGAAAGTCTTCAGAATTTTATGAGTATGAATTTTTCAATTATAGTAGTTATATACACTAAGCTAATTCTAAAAAAATAATTAGAATAATAAAACTAAGAATTTTAGGACCAATGGGAAAAGTGGACACCAAAACTCAGTAGATTGTTACCTGGCATTTCACTGCATGCATTTCTGTTACACTGCTGTAGTACTCTCCTAGCATGTGCTGTAGGAAAGGCAGACAGAAGGATGAACGTAAAATGTGTACGAATAGTAAAGACAGGATCTACACTATCAGTAAGTGAATAAAATCCCCCAGAAATATGCAAATTAAAAAAGCATTTGCCTGAACTGAAATGGTTATCACAGTATGGCTTATGCTCGACATAAAATGCCGATCTCTTCAGGTTTGCTTTGGTGCAGACATTTGGTAAACTACTTCCCACAGTGAAGTGTCTGCATCCAAGTCCTGGCTCCACTCCCAGCTTGAGCCTCCTGTTGCTTTATACCCTGGAGGCAGCACGTGACCACAGGTAGGTGGGTCCCTTCTGCCCAGGTAGGACATCTGAATTGGGTCCCTGGCTCCTAGCTTTGGTCTGGCCCCTTACTGCTTCTCCGCCTTTTGGCTAATATCAAGTGTGGTCTGGCCCTCGCTGGCTCCAGCTGTTTTAGGCTTTCAGGAGTAGGCTTGTGGATTCTTCTTCTACCTCTCAAATCCAGATATGCTATAAATTAAAAAAAATGTGACATGATGATTATCATAAGAAACTTCTACCACTCATTTTTGAAGACTACACAATCAGACAAGCCTCCTACAGCCCACAAGTGAGAAAAAGGCTCCCTAATTCAGTGCCAGTACCATTTATGGTACATTCTAATAATCATGCTGTAGATAGAGTAAGAAGTATTACTAAACACTATACAAAATTTTAGGGTAACAACAAACAAAATCCTTTCTAGATTCTAAATCTACTCAAAACATTTTGAAATTCAATCATATTTCCAAGTGATGGTAAAAAAGACTATCAATTATTTAAGTAAATGATAACGTATTCAGTTTTTAAATTTATTGCCCTTGTATGAACTCCAGCCAACTGTTTAATCTTTGAAAATGTAACTGGGAAAACAGCAAAAAAGGGTGAAAATTATAAAGTGTTAGTAAAATTTTGGGTTAAGACAACAGAATTGTTTTTGTTGCCCAAAAGAATCCTAAACTTAACAGTACATCAGATTTAGTTAGCCCCGACATTTCCCAGCAATCAACAAATGAAACATGTACTATACGATCATGGAAGTTACATATACATTTTAGAAAATGTAAGATTAATTTACAGGTGATGAAACCACTATTAACGTCTTGATGCACTGTTTTCCAGTCTTTGTGGTTCACATTTTTGTTTACACACAGCTGGAATCACACTGTTCAAATAACACTAAATCCTGACTTTTTTGTTCCTTAGGATGGATTTCTCTAAGTGAAATCATTGGAGTAAGGGCATGATCACTGAAGATTTCCAGAAAAGTTGTACAAGTATTGGAAAAACAAACAAACAAGCCTTCTCTATTATTCCTGACTTCAAAAATGGAAATAAAACGAAGTCAGAATTACAAGACTTAAATGAGATGTATAAATATTTTCTTAAGGGCTGGTATTATAGTGTAGTGGGTTAAACAGCATTTCATATGGATGCTGATTTCAGTCCTGGCTGTTCCACTTTTGATCCCTGCTAATTAGCTCCCTGCTAAACTGTCTGGGAAAGCACTAGATGGTGGTGCCTGAATCCTTGTGGGAGAACCAAATGAAGCTCCTGGTTTCGCCAGGCCCAGTTCTAGCTGTTTCAGACATTTGGGGAATGAATCAGTGGGTGGAAGATTCTCTCTACCTCTCCTCCATATCCTCTCCTCCTAATTTTTCCTCTGTAACTCTCTCAAATAAAAAAACCCTGTAAATTATAATAATGAAGCAACATTAATACAGCTTGGTTAACTATCTTCACCAAGGCTCTTACCTGCTAACTGGCTCCCTTTCAATGCTTCCCTGAGATGCTAATTCATGATTAGGGATGTTCTAGGGTTTACTTAAACACATGTGACAAATAAACATGGCCCCATTCATGCAATGAACACTTACGGGCAGCCTCTCATATACCAGGTATTAAGCTGATATTTAACATACAAATACGATAAAGAATCTGCTACCAACATGTTAAGTACTACATAATGTGATTCATGCAAAACTGGCTTACAGAGGCTACAAGAGAAACAAAGGCAAAACTATCTCAGCTTGGATTCATATGCAACTTCAGGATACAGAATTAAAATTTTGTCTAAGGGACTGGCATTGCTGCACAGTGGGTAAAGCCACTGCTCGTGACACCAACATCCCATGTGAGCATGGGCTGCGTTGCTCGTCATGTTATTTACGACCAGGCTTCCTGCTAACCATCTTGGAAAAGCAGCAGAAGATGGTCCAACTGACCAGATGATGAGCCTGACTTGAGCCTCACTCAGCCACGGCTGGTGTAGCTATCTGGGGGAGTGAACCAGAAGATGGAAGACTTTTCTCTTTCGCTCCTTTTATGTTAACCGTAACTTTCAAATAAAAAACAAATCTTAAAAAAAAAAAAACAAAACCCAACCTCCCAAAATCAAGGAGTTTGATAGTAAAAAGGGCTTAGCAAGGACAGAAAGACATGAAGCAGCAAAAAACAAATTAAAAAAACTCACAAAACCCAAAAGAAACCCAAAAATCTGTTCAGTTGACAAATAATAGGATAGCTATAGGAAAAATTCAGGGTCTCTGAAAAAGTTCCAGGAGTCGGCATTGTAGCATATTGGATGCCTGCGATACCTTCATTCTCTATTGGTGCTGGTTTGTGCCTTGGCTGCTCCATTTTCAGTTCAGCTCTCTGCTAATGCACATGGGAAATGTAGAAGATGGCCCAAGTGTTTGGGCCCTTGCCACCCACACGAGACCCTAAAGAATTTCCTGATCCAAGCTTTGGTCTGGCATAGCCCTAGCAGCCACTTGGGCTGTGAATCCACAGATGGAAGAGCTCTCCACCTCTTCCGCTTTGTAACTCTTTCAAATAAATACATAAATAAACAAGTAAATAAATACTTAAAAAAAAAAAAAAAAAGAAAAAGAAAGTCAAGACAGTGGGTGGTAGACAGGAGTCTGGAAAGCGAAGAAGGAACCAAATCTGTGAAAACCGTATGTATCACATACACCAGGATCCTTATGGCAATGGCGCTATAGAAAACTAAACCTCCACCTGTGGCTGTCCCATATGGATATTGGTTCAAGTAGCAAATGCTCCTCCTTCCCATCCAGCTTCCTGCTTATATTCTGAGAAAACAGGATAGGACAGCCCAAGTGTCTGGCTCCTAAATCCACGTGGGAGACATACAAGAAGCTCCAGACTCCTGTCTTTGGATCAGCTCAGCTCTGGCCAAGAGGGCCATTTGGAGACTGAACCAGTGACTAAAAGATCTGTCTCTCCTTTCTCTATGACTATGCCTTTCAAATAAAAATGAATAAATCTTAAAATAAAAGATATTCATGAGTGGTCTTATAGGAACTATGAAGCCAAAATTTATAAAGCAGAGTTGTAGGATTTCAGATATTTTTATTTAGATAATATTTCAGAATTTCAAAATAAGAGCTCCATATTAATGTCAACTATTCTGCTGTTCAGAAACAACTGTAATAGAATGTGTCAAAAACTACAATAAAAATTATCTCTAGTTTACATTTGTTAGCATCAAGCAATGTGTACCATAATCTCTCTACCATAAAACCTTGCATGTTAGGAATGTATTGTATACTAGTTTTAATACTTGACTTAGGATAGCTTTTGAAATCTTCCGAAGAACTCCTTAAATTAAAGCAAACCAAAAAAGAACATACCTGAAGATATTTCTGCAGACCTACTATATTTTATTATTTTTTCCAGCTGCTCATGATTCTTTCTGCTGAATACTTTTGCTTGAACAGGCTCTTCAGTCTGGGCTGAATGTCTGTTCCTATTTTTGCAAGGTTCACATGTGCTAGACATACTGGCACTTTCATACCCTTGAGTAAAAAAAGTGACAACTGTTATCAGTTGCAACTAACTCGACTGAAAGGGAAATTGATTTCCATAGTGAGATAATAAAGGCAACTCAATCTTTATGTTATGAAAGTCAGTATAAACAGAATACAAAACAGCAAATAATATGCCTTGAAGATATGTTTTCGATAATCTTGGGATACTGGAGTAAGAGCAATACATTTTAACAATTCATGGATCTTTGGCAACTGTTTAACATATGTCCATTTCAAAGCATGGTATATGGCAGACCTCATACAACCTAAACTTTGTACTAGTCTCCAAGTTGACAATTTTTCAACATCACTACATTCAAGAATTTAATCTATGTAAATCTCCATTAGCAGACAGGCAATGGACACCGAACATATCTGTGTGACATGACATAAACTTACCTATCTATAAGTTTATACATACTTCCATATTCCTAGTCATGCATTTTTTGGCATTTATTTTGGTATGGTAAAAGGAATGCTTCTATTATTTTTGTTCTACATGTATACAATTGGTTATAACCTCCTCAATGAACCAAATTGCATACTGATCAGTAATATTAAGTCACTGTATTTACTCATTTTTTTAAAAGAATGTATTTTTAAAAAATATTTATATATTTTTGAAAATTATTTACTTTTATTGGAAAAGTTGCTATATAGAGAGGAGATACAGAGAGAAAGATCTTCTATACCCTATCTCACTCCCCAGTGGCTGCAATGATCAGAGCTGAGCTGATCTGAAACCAGGAGCCAGGAGATTCTTCTGGGTTTCCCACGTTGGTGCAGGGTCCCAAGGCTACGAGCCATCCTCCACTGCTTTCTCTGCCACAAGCAGGAAGGGAAGTGGAGCAACTAGCACACGAACTGGTGCCCATATGGGATCCCAGCGCATGCAAGGTGAGGATTTAGCCATTAGGCTATGTACCGTGCTGGGCCCCTCTGTATTTATTTTTAAAATATTCTATCTGCTTAACTTTGTTATTCCAAGGCAATTTCATTTTTTTAGCCACAGAATTTATACAGTAAATTTAAATATCTGGTTAGGCCAGAACTACCTATTTTCTCTTTTTTTCAGCCTGTTCTTGTGACTTTCCATTTAAGCACTGGGTTTTGTTTTTTCCCTCTTTCAGTTTAAAAACAAACCATGGAGACTCAAAACTGGAATAAATTCTATTTGGAGAGAACTGATCCTTAATAATTTTATGTTTTTGCATTTCTCCAATGTTTTTCAAATCATCTGTATTGGGCCTAGTACTGTGGCCTAGTGGCTAAATCCTTGCCTTGCACACATGGGTGTCCCTTCGTGTCCTGTTTGCTCCACTTCTCTTCCAGCTTCCTGCTTGTAGCTTGGGAAAGCAGCTGAGGACGGCCCAAAGCTTTGAGACCCTGCACCCACATGGGAGACCCGGAAGAAGCTCTAGGTTCCTGGCTTTGAATCAGCTCAGCTCCAGCTGTTGTGGCCACTTGGGGAATGAATCAAAGGACAAAAGATCTTTCTCTTTCTCCTTCTCTCTGTAAATCTGCCTTTCAATAAAAATAAACCTTGAAAAAAAAAACTAGTACTTTTTCAGTTACATTGACTTCTGGAGTTTAATTTGTATTCAGTAACTTTTAGGATTGCTAGAGAACATGTTCCTCAACTACCATTTCTGCTCAGTTTTAGCATAATACTGAAAAATATCCGTATTATTTTAATCAGTCACTCTAACAGTTTACTTTGTTAATTCTAGTAGTTATTTTTGAAAATTGTGTCTTGGGTTCTCAAATACACAAATAACACTAGAAAAAAAATGTGATGGAACCAGTGCTGTGGTGTAGTACATATAGTCGATGCAAGTGGCTCCAATTCAAGTACCAGATGCTTCACTGGTCAGCATCCTGATAATCTGCTTGAGAAAGCAGTGAAAGATGGCTCAAGTGTTTAGTTTGCTGTTTTTGGACCGGCTTAGCTCCATACACTGTGACCACTTGAAGGGTGAACCAGTGTGCAGAAAATCTCTCTCTATATAACTCTACCTTTAGAAGAAATAAATCATTTTTTAAAATGTGAAATTTGGGGCCCAGTGCCGTGGTCTAGTGGTTGAAGTCCTCAACGTGAATGCACTGGGTCCCATATGGGCGCCGGTTCTAGTCCCGGCAGCTCCACTTTCCATCCAGTTATCTGCTTGTGCCCTGGGAAAGCAGTTGAGGACGGTCCAAAGCCTAGGGATGCTGCACCCCATGTAGGAGACCTGGAGGAAGTTCCTGGCTCCTGGATTTGGATTGGCTCAGCTCTGGCCACTTGGGGAGTGACTCATCAGATAGAAGATCTTTCTGTCTCTCCTCTCTCTATATATCTTACTTTGCAATAAATATAAATAATCTTTTTTTAAAAAATGTGAAATTTGGTTTTTCCTTTTCTGATATTCAATTTATTTTTTAAAAAATAAATCTTTATTTATTTTTATTGAAAAGGCAGATATACAGAGAGGAGGTGAGACAGAGAGGAAGATCTTCCGTCTGATGGTTCATTCCCCAAGCGGCTGCAAGAGCTGGAGCTAAGATGATCCAAAGCCAGAAGCTTTTTCTGGGTCCCTCCTGTGGGTGTAGGGTCCTAAGGCCTTAGTCCATCCTTGGCTGCTTTCCCAGGCTATAACTAGGGAGCTGGATGGGAAGCGGGGCTGATGGGATTAGAACTGGCACCCATATGGGATCTTGGCACATTCAAGGTGAGAATTTTGGCTACTGCACGATCGCGTTGGACCCAACAAGTTCTCAGCATAAGGCTTTCTGAGCAATACTAAACAGTGGTATTTAGTTCCTAATGTTAACAGAAAAAGCTTTTTTAAACAGAAACAATTTACATTGTAAATTGATTGGCTGTGGCTAACCGCCTTTAGTATTATCTTTAAATAACTGCCTTCTTATGATCATTTGAGAATTTTCATTAGGAATGACTTAAAATTTTTATTTAATATACTGTTAGCAAAAGTGTAACTTTTGTCTTTTTTGGTATAATTATGTTGATATTTTCTGGTAACAAACTATGACCACCTTTCCAAAATAAATTCTAGCAAGCACAGTGTAATATTCTTTTGCTACACTGGCAGATCCAATCTGCTCTATTTTATATCACTTCCCAGTTTTCATTAGTGAGATGGATCTGTATTCTTTACTGCACTGCTACCTCTCCTCCCTACCTTCCCATTAAAGGATGACTGTTCAGACTCACGTGCTGCTTCTGCTAGCACTCCTCAACACACACCAGTGCCTTCTTTGCATCCAGACAGGTATGGAACAGGATTCCTGATCCCAAGACCTTCTGTGATTGTGTATGTCTAGGTTACTCCACTTTTCTTTTCATTTCTACTAGTGTGATAAGATTGCCAGATGTCAATTTTGTCCTTTTTCTTTGTATTAACTTGTTTCTCTCACATGGAGAGCCATGAGACATTGGCTTTTCCTCTAGGATTCAGAAACTGAAGGTAATCATACGTAGATACACGTGTGTCCCTGGGTCCTGAGTGGACATGACAGTCAGCTGTTCTGACTTACAGTCTCTAGTGTTCCTTCATCTCCTTTATTGTGTATTTAATCACTGCTTCTCTGTCTGCCTTTTTCTCTTTGAGAACTCCTTATACATCAGATGGTCAAGATTTGCCCTTATGACTCTAATCTTTTTCCTCTTTATCGCTTGGTACTGTACACAGCTTATCCTTTGATTTCTAGGTCATCTGGAACTTAATAATATTTGTCCTCTTTTATAAGTAACCTAAATAGAAGTTACAGCCACTTTTTTCTAATTCTGAAGAATTTGTTACAACTGAATCTGCTTACGTACCCTATTGTGTTCAGTGTGTTTTCCCAGTGGTGTCGCCATTTCTAGTGGTCTGCTTCTAAGTCTTCTCTGGCTCCAGGTCCTTCTTACATGCAGTGTTACAGTCACAGGCCTTGTCAGGACTCTAACCTATCTCCTAAGAATTGGACCCAAATGCTGAATGGCTTTAATGGTGGATAGAGTAACTGGAGATCTCTTCTCCATGGTCAAGCACCTATCACTTAGCAAGCTGTCCTCCCCATCAAGACAGTATTTTCTCGTCTCTTAGGTGGCAAAGGAAAACACTCTACGCCATGCAAGAGTGGGAAGGACTGATGCCTGCCTATTCAACAATAATAACCACCCAAAAGCATCTAGAAATGGCAAAAGACAGCTGCTCTTACACACTGAGGGAAAGGGCCCCAAACAGGAAGGGCTGACAGATCTCTTTCTGCAAAGCTTTAGCTCTGGTGTTTGCCCAGATCCTGAGTGAGCCCAATGCTTTATGGCTTATAGGCTCTAGGTCATAGCAGATGCTCTGCTTAGTAACAAATAAATTCTCAAGATATGATCAATTTATTCTCTGTAATATCCTGCATTGTGGTATAAAGGTTACACCTTTGTTTGCTAGTTTTAAGTCCTGGCTAGTCCCCTGATCCCTGAAAATGTGCCTGGGAAAGCAGCAAAAGATGGTCCAAGTCCTTGCAAGCGTGTGGCTCCTAGCTTCAGCTTGGCCCAGCCCTATCTGCTGTGGCTATTTGGGGAGTGAACCAGCAGATGGAAGATCTGCTATCTCTTTCTCTCTGTAACTCTACCTTTCAAATAAATAAAATCTTTAAAAAATATATTCTATCTGCTTTCAACACTCACTTTCTGTTTCTAAAACCTTTATTTATGTAAGGACCCCATCAAAACAAAATTTATGTCCCTAGTTTCTTAATTTATCTCCAAGACTGAAGTCCAGTCTTTCCATTCATCCTGCATGAAACTTACTGAAAATAGTCTTAATTATTGATTTTCATGTAGAACAAGTCCAGTAAAACAATATCATTGTCAAAAGTGATATTTAAGCTCATGTGACAGTATTATATGTAGTCCATTTAAATTAATGGCACACAATATTGTAAACAAAAATCTAAAGTATATTATTCTGAAAAGAGTATTTACAAAAACAAAATTAAGCTTTTGGCTG